TAACCATTAACATTATGTAAGAAGTTTTGAAATATGCATATGTCACAAAAACTCAGTATTGGTAAGCAGACATTTGTTCCTATGTATTTCTTCTTCATACTTGAGATGTGTGTATGAAATGACGAACTTTGCTGCAAGTATAAGTTGAATAATACACATTATGATTATATGTAACAATTATAATGAGAATGATAAGGTAAACAGGTAAGGTAATTGTTGACTTATATGGGCAGTTAATACATAAAGAACGTAATGTCATAGTGTCGTGATTTAACCCCAGCCAGCAACTAAGCACGACACAGCCGCTTGCTCACTCCCCCCGGTGGGATGGGGGAGAGAGTCAGAAGAGTAAAACTGAGAAAACTCATGGGTTGAGATAAAGACAGTTTAATAAGTAAAGCAAAAGCCACGCACGCAAGCAAAGCAAAAGAAGGAATTCATTCACTACTTCCCATGGGCAGGCAGGTGTTCAGCCATCTCCAGGAAAGCAGGGCTCCATCACGCATAACTTCTTGTGCACCCCCAGCCTGCTCGCTGGTGGGGTGGGGTGAGAAGCAGAAAAGGCCTTGACTCTGTGTAAGCCCTGCTCAGCAGTAACGAAAACATCCCTGTGTTATCAACACTGTTTCCAGCACAAGTCCAAAACACAGCCCCATACTAGCTACTATGAAGAAAATGAACTCTACCCCAGCCAAAACCAGCACACATAGTAAGTATTTTTTTATATTCTTGGGCACACCAGTCACACCCCTACCTGAAAATTTGACCTATCATGTCATTCGCATGATGGTTGAAAAATTGTATGCTATGGTAAGCAATATACTGAAAAATTACCACCATTGATTTTTTTCTTCTAAATAGTCTTTTTTTTTTTCCTTTGAGAGACTAGAATAGATGAGAATGCTACAATGCTGCAAATTAGAACTGTTGGAAGAAAAATCAGAAAGAAAAAACTATGTAGATAGTCTCTTTTACATTTTTCAAGAAATTGTCTGTCTAATGCAGCATTATGTTTTACTCAAAGTGACTATACTCTACTACAATTTTTGATTAGTTTATCATATTAAAAGAACCCTGCTTTGTGGATCAGTAAGTTTCTTCTTTTTTGAAAGAAACTTTTTTGTATGCTGATAAGCTGTCTGTCGAGAGTCCTAGTCTGATGCAAATGTCGACATGGTAGCATTTAAACAAATGGTTAGATAGTCAGTAGAAAGGAGTTAATTATTAGAACTGCATACACTGTTTGGTTCATCACTTTTACTACAGATACAAATATCATTTGTCTGAGCAGCTACCTTCAACTAAAAGGCTCAACTTGAGCCAAAATCTGAGAATCTTTTTCTAAAGCTACGGTAAGCTAATGTGAATGTGCATTTGCAGAATTAATTTGCACGCAGAGCTATGCACGTAAGGCTAATAAAACTATGATAAGTCCGCAACTGGTGCGCAGCCTGCACGCATCGGATATTATGGAACATCACCTCTGGCTTGTATAGCAGTAGTACCTCTTTCACTAAAATTTTCAGCAACAAAGGATTCAGGAGTCACCATGTCTGGTTTGCATTTGAACACAGACTACTTTGTTGGAAACTTATAGGAACATACAGTGGTTGATATAGGAACTCTAGTAACAGCATAGGTTTTCATAATTATCATGGTTATAACACTATAGTTTGCAATAACAAAAATCTAAGTAAAAATAATAACTAAAGCTCCATGGTAGGTTCACAATGGAAATTTTAATCAGTTTAATCCCTCTTCATCACTAGCAATGCAATTCTATCCAGGCCACTTGAATGTCAAAAGACAAAAATGAGGAAAGCTAAACATATTGAAAAAATGTTTACATTTTATGGAATAATGATGTATCTGCAATGAAAGAATGTTTCATTATTATTAGGACTTTTGCACTGCGACACATCTCTTTCCCCTTTTCTTATTTTTGTAGGAGAGGCAACAATTTAAAATTGGTTCTGGACTCTGGTTCTTAGGCATAAATAGGTGATAGTAGTAATATTAATACAAAGGGTGTCTCAAGCCCTTTTCATCCTCAGGGCCTTAAAGGTGGAAAGAAGGATATGCCAGGGAACTGTTTTGCAAGCAAAAAAAATTGTTTATATTTCTATCTAAATGTCACTATGTTTCTGAGGTAGAATGAACTTAACAATAATCAGAAAAATGTGATTCCTTGTACAGCTAGTATATATTGCAGCCCCGCTCTGCTACACTGTATATTTTCTACATTTTGGGGGAGTTGTATGATAAACATCAACAGTTCCAAGTAGTCTTTACAATTAATCCATCCTTAATATGCATATACTTTATATTATAAACATATAACAGTTGAATGTGCATATGTTCAAAGCAATTTTCATATTTCATTAGTCCTTAAATAGTTTGGAAAATGAGTGGGCCTCGTGACATGTTATAAAAGAATTTAATTGCTTTTAGACTGGGGAAACCGATTCTAAATTCAAGCGCCCCTTAGAAAATGTCCAACTGTAGCCCTCTCCAAGGGCACCAGCACATCTGCTGATTAAATCTTCAGGAGATTTATACAGGGAAAGTCAGATTCTCTTCCAAAAGGCATGTCCCGGCAGATGCTGCAGTTTATGGATGGGTTGTTGGAGCCACAGGCATCTGGTTTGGCAGGTACCCAGTTTGCCCCCTGCTGTATCAGCAAGAAGTGCTTGTGCTGAAGGCAAGAACTGCCGCGTGTTGGTTCATATCACAGCTCAGCTCTTTCCTCCAAGGGAATGAGTGTTCTGGGTCACTTTGCTATGCCACTACCTGTGTTGCTAGTGTTCACACACCTTTTTGTTAGGACGATACCCACTAACACTTTAACTATGCTAAAAAGAGCTAATTAAATGGGGTTGCTTAAATAAGAGAAGTATACAGTACTCTCTTCACAGGACAGGAAGGAGTATTCCCTGCTCGGTACACAGAGAGAGAGACAAAGAGTTATTCAGGGAGAACACCAGTGAGGAGGCTTTTTTGCAGAAATGGCCATAAGCTTCCAACTCCTCCAGCCGTTCAACAATAGCATATATTGACAGCAGAGTAGATGCTGCTGTAAATCTCCTAATTATGGATCAAAAATGCCACCGACACATGATGCACAACACTGAACTCATGCAGCAGTTCGGAACAGTGGACAATGTTGTGCTGGATTAACCTTTATACCAGTAGGTTCTATGCCAGATTCAGTATCAGAGGTATTCTAGCCTCCTTTTGAAACATACAGGCAATGTAAAAAAACCCAGAAAAAAACATAAATCTGGCATATACTTTGTGTGATCTGCTCTAGCTAATTTGACAGCTGTGCTAGCATTTGTTTCTACCTTATTTGGACAAAATTAATGTTTTTAGTAACCTCAAGGAAACGGTGCAGAGCGCTGGCGGTGATGGCTCACAGACCCACGTTAGCAAAGGTTGTGTTAATTCACCGGCTTTAGCCACTGTGATTTGAGGCTTGTTTGTGCTTGCTATATCTGCGGACTGGGTTCTCCCGCGGGTGGAAAAAGTGCTTATGCACCCAGGCACACATTTTTTTCCCCATTGTTCTTCCAGTGCTCACCTGCTGGGGTAACTTACACCAAGGGAAATCCACACTGGTAAATCTGGTATCAATCCACTAAAAATGCGCTCTGCATTTCACCGCGTATACCTCATAAACCTCATTATCAGTTAGAAAAGTGCAAATACTAACTCATTCTTCCATGTGTTTCTAAAAGCTACACATATTCACATAAAAGGCCACCCTTACAAGAGCTACCACCCTTACTAGAGCGTTGCCAGACTTCCTGTGGTAATGGGAGTTTTACTTTGAAACCGTGTCTCCTCTATAGTGCAATCAGAATAGGATTGTGAACAAGAATTGTCAGAAATTAAACCAGTATTGTTTCCCATCGTTATGTGACAGATCATGGACTGAACATTATTAGAGAGCAGAATAATTGTGAGGAATTTCGGTTGTTGTAATTGTGGTGAAGGGATGAGGGGTGGAGTGTGTGTAAATTGTCCACCTTTGTTGGTGTTGTGATGATATTATTTTGATTTGGGTGTGGGGAATTCTTTTGTTGATGTAAGTGACGTTTGTGAAGATTGTAGATTGTGTGATGATGTGTATTTTAATGATAATGATAAAACATCTTTTTACATTCTCAGCATGACATAATTAAAAATCAGATCCCATAAGATATTGAGATACCTCATTCCTAGTGATTTCACCTGTATGAAGATACCTGAATACTTTTAAAAATCTGTCCCGTAGACATATATCGAGAGGGTCAAAATTCATTGCTGTAGAGGTTAGATTGCTGTTCTTTTCAATAGTCCGTTGTGCTATAGTTTCTGATTATTCTGTTTTGTGTTACTACTCTTCATGTTGGTTCTATTTTTTCTTTCCTGAGTTAGCTGCTGCACTAGGTGTCTCCCTTTCTCTCTTCTAATCATTATTTTTGGGAAGGTTTGTAAAATGTCCTTTTGCTTCACAGTGTGCAAAGTAGTACAGCTTAAGGGCTGTACACTTACTGCTCTATGTACTTAGTTACTACTTTGTTCTAAGAGTATACCTGTCACCCATTCAGCTGCTAAGGGAGCGAATCATCATCATGGGATCAGGCAGAAAAGAGCTGATCTATTCTCTAGCCAGCAGGAGGGGAATTTAAAGCAGTCAGAGTTATCAGAGGATCTCCTCACATCTTCCTTCTGAAGGGGAATCTCTGGTAGTGCAGGAATGGCAAAACTCTCAGTGGTATAAATTAAATCTGAAGTTTTAGCTTACATGTAGGGCTAAAGCTGGCGGGAGGGAGCCTTAAGCAAAAGCTTATGGAAAGAAATACAGAGCATTCTGTCACTGCTACTGTTCCCTCCAAAGGCTGAGAAAAATCTGTAATAAACTTCTGGTTAGATGGGCAAAGCTGGCTTTCAACCTCAAAAGTCTGATTGTGCACCAGCCTTGTAAATACTATATATGCTGTTTTTTCTCTGTGCAGGTATCTAAGCCAGACTGTACTGGAAGAGACGATGTTAACAGCCAACCCTCAAAACAGGGAGAAGTTAGCCGTACTAAAACAAGCTCTAGGTGCTATGGGATTCAATAGCTTGGTAAGTTACACAAGCTTATGTTATTTGTGGCTAAAATCACCATATTTCTTAGTTAAAAGCAGGCCATAAGGAACTCTCACTGATAACCTTTTGTGGGGAAAAGAAGTGCCTTTCTGTATTTCTTTTTTTCTGTTGGTTAAGACCTTGAAACAATATACAGTACTAGTTCACTCCAGGGAAATTACTGTAATCACTTTTAATTAGACACGGCACCAACAATGTAAATCTTTTTCATTCTTAAAGATTCACAAAACAGCTTCAAGGTATAATACTCTGAACAATTAAATTACATAGATAAAAAGAAACAATCAAATCCCATATGACAGAAACCTCATAAAACCCACAGGAATTTTTTCCTCTTCTTGATTATCTCCCTGTCCCTTTTAATTTTGTGAAACACACATTCCAAATGCCTTTGCTAGCAGCACCTGAAAAAAAGTAAATACATATTTAGTCAAACAAAATTAGAGCTGGGTAACTTGAAAGAGCTGACTTAACCCCAAAAAAGCAACAAGAAGATAGGTCTCGTGTTTGTCTTTAATCCTATAAAGCTAACGAAGAAGATGATAATTTGAAAAATTAATCAAGAAGAGGTTCTGGAGGACAGAGGTTTGAGGGGATTCAGGAGAAATGGAGGGCTGAGTATAAGAACTCATGTAAGCTGTGTAATGCCCTTCAGGATACTAGAATATTTAACAAACTCCATATTTCTTACATATGTATATGCTACCTAGCACACTGTAGCTGGGACATTTCTGCAAAACAAATGCATAAGCAACAGTAATTCTAGAAGGAGGTAAAAACTTCTTTACCCCTACATGATATTTAGTGTCATAAGAAAAAAGCAGAGGAAAAGTTAATGTGACAGTATGCTAGGTTATCGTAAGAGATGACAGATGGGCAACAGTTGTAATAAAAAGGGATCAAGGGCTATCAGCAAAAAAAATTGTGAATCTGCTGAAGCTGTTATCTAGGTGTGAGGTACACTTCTGTGGTGATGGTACATCACGTAGTTGTTTAGCATTCTCTAGTTAAGGTAGTAACAAATGTTCTTTGGTAACCCCTGCCACCTTTCAATATAAAGAGTGGGGTTTTTTCCATGAATATTCATGTGGCCATGTACAAAATTGAACACATATGGCTATATTTGACAGAATTATTCCTTACTCTTAATGACTCAAGCTCTGCACCTGTAGACTTCAGTAGCAAAAGTTCCAGGCAGTTCTGCATTTAGCCCAGCGTTCATGGATGGGTGGATCTCTCTATTAACCTCTTTGTTTTGTTGAGGAAGGGGTTCAGCCCATAAATAAATAATTGAATGTGTAATGAATCACATTTTAGAAGCCTGCAGAAACAGTCTGAAAACACTTGATGTAGAAAAATACATATTCTTTTGGATCCAGCACTTCAGCTTCACTTTTCTCAGAGTTCTTGAAAGGAAGTAAGTTGCCTCTCAGAAAAGCGTAAACCATCTTCAAGGCTCCTCTATATCCAGGCAGCATTAGAATAATCATTTAGGAGGCTAGAAATCTGTGGAGCTCCAGAGTCCTGCAGGCTGATCTCCTGTGCTGGAGGCTAGAGGGGAATATGTAGATAAAACACATCTCCTAAAATGTCTACCCATTACTTCTGAGGTACATGGAAAGGTCTATATGTATTATTCCTTGACCAAATAGCCACATTGAATGATAGAGTAGATTATCTTTTTGAAGAACTATATAAACATTCCTTAGCAGTCTTTAATGGTATCTCGCAATGTACATTAATGTTTATTAAAAAATTGTTTTAAAGTTGAGGGAACATGCATCTTAGAGCACAAATAGAAAATGTTTGAGAATCTGGAACGTGAACTAAACCCAAGGCCCTACCAAAATCACCTGAATAAACAGCTTGCCACGGTTCAGTGCTGTACGGTCGTCCCCAAACCAGTTCTGAACAAGCTAACAAAGAAGCAGGAATTATGGTGTACTAGGGTGCCATTCCATCTTGTCTGAGAGGCCTTCCCAAGAAGCAGGGTGTAGCACCCTAGCTTAAATGCCATATTAGCGTGACAGTTCTTCTCTTGTAAGAGCTACCTTATTCAGACTTCGCCTGTATATATTGCTTTTTTTAATCTTCAGCTTTGGTACTGTGTAATAGAAAAATATACTGTTGCCCTATTTACATCTATCTCATACAGTAAGAGATTGAAGTTCTTGTCTTAAGACGTAGTCTAGAGAATCCGACTTGCTTAAACAGCATCAGAGGTGCTGTAGTCTGTACCCCAGAAAGACTGTAAGCTTTTTTTAATGTCCTCTGATGACGGGCATATTTATTAATGAAAGGAACAAGAAGAAGAAGAAAATATTTTTTTTTTGACCTGTTGCTTTTGAAAACTGATGAAAAGTCATCCAAGCTTGGTTGGATGATATCAGGTTTCCTGTTTTATAATTTTAAAGGAGCACCATTGTTATATAACTGACCTTAAAAAACCATCCAAAAACACACAATGTTTTCCATGTCTTAGCATTTTTGGTTCATATTTCATGGATCATTTTTTTGCTTGAATTTAAAAGCATTTTAAAAAAGCAAACAAGAACATTAGTTCTCTTCTTGCTGTGGTAAAAATGAGGCCAGGAAAAATCTAGCCCTAAAGATAACTGCTTCACAGCCTTAGAGGCATCCGAACATAGCATGCAATCATGGGGAGAAAGCGTGTGGGTAAGGAAGGTTGCTTTTGTTTCTTTTAGACCTTAACTACAGCTTTTACTACCAGGAACCTATTATAATTTAGAGCTAGACACTTCGTTTGTGAATGCAGTTGGCTGAGGAAGAAACAAACCTTGCTATTCCCAGATACAGAATTTGTCTTGATGGAAAATCTCTATGGAGAAGATACGTTTATTTCTTGCAGAAATAATGCATCCATTAAAGATATTTCAATATTTTTTATCACATTCTGAAAAACTTTCTTAACTCAGTAGTTAATGTGATTTATATTAAAACAAAAGAAAAAAAAGGTAATCTTGTTTTATGTCCTAGATAGGTTCCAGTTTGATTTCTAAATCCAAATTTCCTGGTAATAGTTCACACATGAGTACTTTTTAACTTAGTAAATGCCAATGATACAAACTATATAGAATTTGTATTTTTATAAAGCACAGCCTTTCACTGGTGTGCCCAACAGATCTCTTCTTTACCTTTAATTCTTCATAAAATATGTGCAGGAGGTGGAGAACCTGTTTGTAATTCTCTCAGCAATTCTGCATCTTGGAGACATTCGCTTTACGGCTCTGACAGACGCTGAGACAGCATTTGTGTCAGACCTGCAGCTACTGGAACAAGGTCAGTAGGACGTGACTTTGGAGCATCGCGATCAGGGCACTTGCGCTGATCCACCGACAGATGGAAACACAGTTCCAGGGAGACAAAAAAACCTACTTCTGAAAATTCATAAGTTACTGTGGGAAGACAGTATCCAATTGACTTGGATGTTTTATAAACTACAGATTTTTATGGGATAAAATAAAATACTAGTATTGCAAATTATCTAATTCAATGTCATATTTAATGCTACCATTTGCCAAAAGAAATTATACAGTGCACTTTGGGCAGTCTTCTTTTAAAATACTCTTGTGCTGCTTGTCAACAGCTGAACAATTTGCATTGAATTGAATTCCTTACATTCAAAGATCTGTGTCTTAAAAGGGTCTCTTGTTTTCATGCTTTGAAGTTTGCCCTCTTGGTCACTAACAAATCTCCTCAAAGTGGCTTATGGATACAGAATGTCAATAAGTAGCATACCTTAACTCTAATATGAGAGAAAGTCTGCCAAGCCCTGGGGAAAATCCTGAGTAATCTTTAAAGAGGAAAGGAAGCTGTAATGTAATATACAGATACATTCAAACTTCACAAAGTGCTGATATAGTAATCCGATTTTGTATGTTCATTAATTTTGATTACTCCTGTGACAGCACTCTTTTCTTTAATGTGTGGGTTCTTTCACTATTAAAAAATAGCATCTACATAAGAAAATCTGTTATAAAAATAAAATATGCAGTAGAGCACAAATCAGGCTTTCTTTAAATTCTCTTTTCATTTCAGTGGCAGGGATGCTGCAGGTTTCACCAGATGAGCTTGCTTCAGCCTTAACAACTGATGTTCAGTATTTTAAAGGTAATCTTTTCCAAGCTTACATTCTCATAGATCAGACCTGGTGGCATTTTGATCCTTCTGATTTGAGAATTTTAAAAGCAGATAGTTTTTGTTTCCTCTTTCTTGTATGGTCTTGTAAATTTTCTCTCTGAGGACTATGTAGGATTATCTGCCATGCAATAAGTCAGACTGGGCCACTGAATTAGAAACGTCTTTGTAAATGGAGCAAAGCAGTTTTGCAGCCTGACGCTGATGGACTCCTAATTTGATTAATCTTACAAAAGTGTGTCAAGATAACAGATTAGATATTAATACTAATAAATAAAGTCAACAGGAGTGTCCTGGGGAAATAAAAAAGTTTTGAAAAAGTTCTTTTCAGTAAAATGCTAGTTCTCTGTGGTACACATACCTTTTCTATTGAAAAATGTACATGTTTCTAAACTGAAGATCTTGTGAGTGTTGACAGTCTTCTCATCTTTTACTGAAGGCTTCAGGAAAAAACTAACACCATGTATATGGTTGGCAAAGCAGAATTAAAAAGGGTGGAAGGACTTATTGTAACTAAAATTACTTAAGGCGAGCTTTACAGCATGCTTTCATCTCCATTTTCTGCTTTCTCTCTTAGGAGACATGATTGTACGGAGGCACACTATAGAGATTGCAGAATTTTACCGGGATCTCTTGGCAAAATCTCTGTATGGTCGTTTATTTAGCTTTTTAGTCAACACAATCAACTGCTACCTTCAAAATCAAGATGAGACTGGCAGGTAGGAGTGCCATTACAAACTATTAGGTGTGCCATTATCTGTTCAAAACCAGATCCATAAAAGAAACATAATTCTATCATTTAAAGCATTTTATGATAGCATGACAGCGATGCTTAGATCTTTAAATCACTGGCCATTCCTTCAAATTGCTTCCTTGGTAACATATTTGTTTATTTATTTGCTTGTGTGGGGGGACGTGGTACTTTATGCAGTAGTCTAGATTGGTGGTTAGAATTAGTAGCCTTTTAAGAGTTGACAGTACAGAATGAGCTAAGCCTTTCAACAAGCAAAAAGCTGCTTGGTGTTTTTTTAGTGCAGAATATTCTTGTTCTTTCTCCCCAAAACTATGACCTTACCACAGGGTATTAAAAAAAGAATTTTGTTCAAAGGCCTTCAAATGAATGTTTAAACTTCACTGAACTAAATATTCTAAGAATGTTCTGGATGTTTCTAGGTTATCATCTGCTAAATTCAATGCTGTTGCTACCCAGTGTGGCTTCTTAGAAAAAATGAATGCTAATTAATGTGTGTCAGTGGTGCAGTCAAGAAACAAAAGAAAAACCCAATAAACAAAAGAAGTCTCAGTAGAATCAAAGTAGCAAACTAAGACAGTAGACCTAATTAGATGATCATATGCATGTGTCTTAACCAAGGTTCAACATCTTACATGCTCAGATGAGCTTTCTTACGACCACCAAGTACAAGATGTCTTGGCATTATTAGTAAATGGAAATCCACAAAAGACAGATGTGGAACTTCCAAAAAAGAATAAGTATTTTTTCCTTGTATCATATCTGCATTGGCTTCACAGGATAAATATTTATCAATTGCCCTTTTTTAGAGTTGTTAAGAGTTTGAAGACTTCATAATCTTTTTTTTATTCCTATCCTATTTGTAGACCAATTAGTAATAAATCACATTTCTTTTCTATAGGCTTAGCTGACAGAAAAAGCTACCATGCCTGAGTAACTTTCTGCGCATAAAAGCTTTCCATCATTATATATACCACCAGAGTGCCTAGCTTCCTGCTGGAGGCAAAAGGAAGTTTTGCCAGTAACACGGAATGGTTTTACTTGTCTGTTTCTGATTATCTGGCCCCTTACAATTGCAGGCACGTGGACAACCAAGCTAGAGTAACTTTCCAACGTCCTAATTTGAAATATTGTGTTTATAACAAGGATGGACAGTGACATGTGGTCACATTCAAATCTTCCCCATTCATTCCTGGGACTTATGGAACATGGGCTTAGCTCAGTGCATGTCTGTGACAGACAACAATCCAGCTCAGGTATTCCTAATTACAGTGAGCTCATTTGTAGTGGTCGTTGAGGAAGAAATGTAGAATCAGTATATTAAAAATCTATTAAAATTATTTGAAATAATTTTTCAGTGTGTAATTTTGCAATTTTGAAATTTGATATCTCGCAATCTTTCAGAATAGGGTGTTGTTTATCTCTGTTGTTCAGTAATGTAAGCCTATAATTTCTAGGTATCATAGGATCTTCAAATAATGAAAGTCAAAGCTGTTTGTATATTGTTTACCTTGTAGTCTCCTTTTAGTGCAATCATATGTGCTTGAAGTGACTTCTACCTTGTGGAAATACTTCTCAGTGAAACTATTTCTACCTGTGTGGTAACTTGAAGACTATGTGATGTTGTAAGTTCCAGCTAAAACAGGACAGCTGTTTGATGGCAGGAATGAGGAATTTGCAATAGTTTTATATTATACCTATGCTTGAAAAAGGGGAGTTCTTCATTTAGGCTGGCTGAAGGAAGCTAACCAGTTCAGGATATATTGGCAGTGCTAACAAGACATATTAAATTTTAGCAGGCCAAATTCAGCCTCAGGTCCCTTTCCAAACTTGAAGCTAAATAGTTTATTTTAAGTAAAAATGAAGTTGAACGTCCTTCATTGATATTTCAACCTCACTTGAGTTAGCCAGCTTAAGATAAGAACGTATCTCCCCTACCCCCATCTTTTTTTTTGGTCCAGACTAATCATATTGTATAACCTGTAGTAGTAAATCAAGGCATAGCACAGTTTAAGATGCAAGTTGGATTAATGCAAGTCATTGCATGAATCTGTGATTTGTGGTTCAGATTTACTTTATATACATCTGAACAATTCTATCAATTAGCAGCATTGGTGCAGTTTGGTGCAGTTTTAATAAACCTCTGCTTAAATATCCACCAAAAACATTAACTACTGTGGCTAAATAAGGCTGATACATTTCAGGCCACACTTCATTCCCTGGTCAGAAACTTACACAGTTACTACTTACCAGATGGGATGGAAACTTCATCAGAAACCTGGAATAAGGTTTCTTACTCAGTTCTCTTGTTTTGTTGTGAGGTAGCTTTACTGTACTTCCATCCCACTTCAGTAAAAATTTATGAAGCAATAAAATTAGATTTATTGGCTTAGTAACTCTAAGAGAAACATTTGATCTTGGCATTTTTGAGGAAACTAGTTACCTGGGTTTAACTTCTATGATGAAGCTACTCAATCTTAGTCATTAATATTGATTTATATTTACCATGAAATAGCTTGTGGCTGGTTTCAGGCAAAGGTAAAAATGATGATTGCCATTAGATCTAAGGGAAGAGGAGACGATTGTATGAAAGGCTGTAAAGACCAAGCTCTAGAGGTATTAAGTATAGAGGATAAAAGTGTTGCCAGAATCCAGCAAATTCATTACTTTACGATACTATCCACTAAATATAAAGCAAGAGTTTTAATGACAGTGTTAAGTGAGATAATACACTTTCAGAAATGTTGTTCTCCTTCATAAAAAGTTACTTATGATTTTGTCCAGTTAGAACTATATTATAACCATGGATGCTAGTTTGGACTGGTTACAAGGTACCTTTGAGGTTTATTACTTCATTCATCTTGATATTGTTTCAAAGAAATTCACTGGGGAGAAACTTTTTCTGTAATTGGCCTCTAGAATGGGATTAGAGGAAAGCTATTAAAATTTCTCACAGGTGCTTATAATTATTTTTTAAAAATTATTAATATTTATATTCATTCATTTATATAATGATTTCCTATTCTACTGATTTTATTATTGTAAAAATTGTCTAGGTGAACTTCTTCCCACGACTCTTAACTCTTCAAAGTTTACTACTGTTTTACTTCCATTCCAATAAGTATGCTGATTTTCAGTTTTGTAGATAAAAGAGACTTGAGCATTCACGATTGCCTAAATGTGGCATTTCAAGGTACTTGGTTGCACATTGGCAAAGTTGGATCTAGTGATCCAAATATTAGTAATAAAATGTCTTCAGATGATGTTTTAAGAACTCCTGACTCATTTTGCAACAGGACTTTACATTTATGGGGATTTGAGAGTGTCTGTGAACTCTTGTGAAACATTGTTTTTCTTTTCTGATGAAAAGCAAGCTAATGAGGTATATATGCTTGAGAAAATATTGATATTGTCTTCCCTGCCTGCTAGTAAGTAGAAAGCATGATGTTTTATTAGCTAGTTAGCAAAGAGTTTCTCTCTTATGTGGCCTGAAGATGGGGCTAATGCCAATACACTTGCTGTATTAGACAAGCAAAGAAAGCTAGCATTCAATTATACTCCCTGTCTGTATCACCAGGTCAGCCATAGGAAAGTTTTCTGTTTCAAATAGAGCATATAGAATATTTCTAAATAGGTATTTTCTGAAAGCTTGTGTATTCTGACTGTGTAATCTTATTCCCAGCGAAATTCAAATATTGCCAGAGAGTAGCAGTGGCAACACTTATTTGGGCAAAGGAGAGATCTCAGGAGTCTCATTTACAAACTTCTTAGTACACATTATCTGATTTATAGAATGGGGTATTCTGAAATAGAAATCTTCCCAGCTTAAGAAAAAAACCAGACCATAAACTAAAATGTTTATTTATCTATTATTGAACCTAGTAGAAGGGTGCTGGGAATGCAGGAAGGACAGAAAGAGAGTTCCTGTTCAGAACATGAACCCACAGCATAATGAGAATTGTCTCTATATGTGGAGGTAGGGAAATCTTTAAAACAGATAAACAATACAAAGCGTCTAATACAATATGGTGCATAATATCATATTTTGAGATCTGCTTCAGTCTGGATCGTTTCCAGTGTTTCATTAAACAAGACAATGCCATTTTTGAAAGCATAGGACAAATTTTGCTTTAAAGAACTGGGGAAGAGTATGTGCTACCGATGAGAGGGCTATAGATCTTGAGTCTATTAGGAAAAATATTTCTCCCTTCCTGCCATACCTGTCAAGTCACTCAAAGAAATGTTTGTCAGATAAGGAGCCAGTGTTTCTTTCCGCTGCATCCAACCACTGTCTCTGTCTGTACCACTCACACCTGGGTAAGGTAATATTAAAAGAAAAATGACAGTTGTTGAGCAAGATGACTGAGAGGTGTGGCAATGACACCAAGTCTCAGCAAAAATGACAGAATCTTAAAAAAATCTCAGAAAAATCTCTCTTAAAAGTCTCAGAAACTAGTTTGTTTTAGTAATTGTTTGCGATGAAGAACGTATCCAACTGAGAGTATTCAGCCTGCTCCCTTCAAGAACCGTATTTATGACAACGGGTGTAATCTGTCCCCCTGGGAGAACTGCAGGAGTCTTACGTAGGATTCTGAGGGTCCTCATTTGAAGGCTAGGTTATATACTTCATCTAACCCTGGAATTATTTCTTCATTAATCAGTATCACTTCTAGTTTATCCAGATCAGACATAAGCCTACTGGCTTCCTTCCTGGTTACTTGCAGAAGTTGGAGGAAGAACAAGAAACGTTATATCTGGGGCAGATGAAAAGGCACGTTAGATCATCCTGCCTGAAGAGATTCACCTCACTGCGTTATGTAGGCAGCTTACGAAAAATGACAATGAGAATGAACCCTATGGATTTCAGAGCTGAAAACCATCTGGGATGAAAAAAGAGTACTCAAATAACTTCCTGTAGGTTTGTCTGAAGCATTGGGTCAGAAGTATTGCAAAGGGAATTCTGTTCACCTTGCCAGGAATGGCAAACGGGTCAAGAGCATCTCTTGATGAATGGCAAGATGTCTGCCAAGACAGTAGATCATCAGACAGGATGTCTGGTGTATGTGTATTGTTTTTAGGAGTTGCCAAGAATTTTTATGTGTTTTTTTTATAATGCAGTTGTTAAGTGTACAGGATCAAAAGGTATTTCTAGTCTATAAGGCCATCTTTACAGAGATGTTATTCTGAGGAAAAAGGCAAAACTGGAGACATTGTGAAATATTATCAGTCAAAATGCTGTTTTGTAAATCACAAAAATCAAATGAGTTATGGTTAACATCCATGCCTGTTTTTAACTATCCATAGCTATGTACTGGTCTAAGAGATATAAACGTTCTTCAAATACTGGCAAATTGCTGTTTTTCTAATTTCTGTGCTAGGAAATATTGTCAAACTTGAAATCAAAGTCTCAGTCCCCACTAAAACTATAGCTGTTTTATTTATACATAGTAAATATTGAATATCTGAAATATAATGAGGAAAAGTGTCAGTGATGTTTAGTAACCATAAGAGAATAAAGTAAAAGAAGGAGATTTTTCAGAACAAAACATGCTGTTTTCTAGTATTTGTTCTTTTAGACACTGGCGACATGCCCTTTCATTTGTAAACATGGGATCATTCATGCTTTACTTTGCCTTGGGAATCTCTGCTATGATTAATTTAAGGAAAGTAATTTTGCTGGAATTAATATGATTGACAGCTAGCCAAGAAAGACATATATGGACCCTCCCTCTGAGAAAAAAACGTTGTATAAAACAGAGGAAGACAAGAAGGAACAAAAAAGCAAAGCAAAGTAATTTGTAGCCACTTATAAAACAACGCTTTTAATTTTGCTGTTGTGCTGTCTATTGCTATTTAATTTTCAAAATCTGGGCAATAATTTAATACAGAAAATTGCTATCATGGTTGGTGAGATTTTGCAAATAAATGCCACAATGTAGTAATAAAATGTCGCTATTGTAGAGGATACAGAGCCTTGTTCCGTTATACTTGCCCTGTAGGCAAGATATCAATTATGTAAAACCTCCAGCTCTTTTCATGTAGTATGTGCATCTTCTAATAATACAAGGCCAAGATTATCAAGTGGAGTTCATCAAAAAAATTGGGATGACATGTTCTCCTGTCAACAAATGCGTCTCCAGCAAATCAAGATATTTCTTGGAAATGTCACCGTTTTGATAAGGAATGTTATTTGATGTAGGCAATAGGCTGTCTGCTAAGGCTTTTACCTGGAGTTTTAGAAACTAGGGCCAGGTTGCCGTTTCACGTGATTTGTAATAATGCATTAAGTCTGTTTGTTTAGATCTTTTCCTTATGCAAATGTTTATATATTCCCTGAGAAAAAGTAAGAGAAACTAATTTGATAAAATAACAGGCATGGCACTAAACTGGGATGTAAGCAATTCAGCCCCAATTCTATTCATTGAATCAGACAGAGAAGGGATAAGCTGTTCCATCCATGTTAAGTAGCTCTTAATAATTATGAAATATAATGCAATATTTTAGCTGTTGTACAATATTACATAGCAGTTCATGTTTTGCCTTCCTATAAGGAAAGCTATAGATAAATGACAAAATAATAAAATAAGAATGAAAACTTACTAAGTATTCTGAAATTCCAAACTACTTTTTTTCCAAAACTTATTTAAATAACATAATAATTCTGGCTTTTCAATATTAGTCTGAGGTAGTTTGTTTTCAAAATGTCTAATTCTTCTTTACAGAAATGGACTGGTTTTGTTGAAAACACATTGTGACAAGGAATGTACACCCATCTCTAATCAGGAATACTTGAGAATGAGGCTTACATCTTAAAACACAATTAAAATTGCACTCATTGCTAGAGACAGAGGTGGTGATATATCTTTATGCTTCTTGTTGTAGAAATTCCGTTGGAGGCTAATCGACCTCACGATAACCTCTCCTGCCCAACAAAGTCATTCTAGACTAGATTTATTATGCAACTCTCTATGTCTGACATTTACGCACATAGCCAGTCTTGTGACGATTAGTAGTGCATTGAACTAGTGTGCCTTAGAAATGAAGACAAACTTCTTAGGTACGATTTCTGAAGAAGGCTCTACTTGTCCCTGAGGATTGTTCTTCCTAGCTTGTTTTGCAGTACTCCATTTTTTTATGATTTTCCTTTTAATTTCAGGGCTGGATCATCGCCTAGTTAAATGGTAGAGTTTACAATGACTGTAACAGAACTATACTAAAGTATTTCAACAGTGGATCACCTTTTTCTCCTTTACGTCTATATCCTGATATGCACATAGAATTAGGCAAAGGAAACATGGAACATGGAGGAAAATGTGAAAGGAAAAGTAGAGTTCAGAAACAGCAGGCTGCAATATTATTTGTATACATACAACCCCATACATTTACAAATTATGTTGGCAAAGAGAAAGGAAAACTCATCTGCTTTAAAAAGTGTCCATCTCCTTTCTCAGGAAGCTGAATTATTTTTCCTTTGCTGGTTTTTCCTGTTCCAGAGGGCCATTGGCTATAGTGCAAATTCTGTCATCCTGCTGGCAGATCATTTCACTCCGGAGAAAGTCCTACTGCATTCACATAGGCAAACTGCAACAAATTTTTTACTGTAACCCTCTTTTTTGTGTTCTCTGTCTAATGATACAGGGAAGAAAATAAAGAAAAAGCCCAGCCATAGTGAGCCCAGCCCTTTCATATAGAGTTCTCAAATCCGTCCAAAGCAGGCAACAGGATATCCCAAAACATTAAATTTACTCCCTGCAGTGAACTTAGTTTCTTCTCCAGATCAGGTTTACAATGACTTAGTCCCAAGTAAGTACAGAATAATAACACCTCTGTCCCTTTCCCATTTCTCCTGTCCAAATCCTGGGTGACTGCCCTGCCCTAATCCTTCCACTGGGCCAAAATAAAAGCCTTTCCCTGAATGCAGGCAGTGGCACATGACAAATTAGATGCACTGCCAACAAGTATTCTTTTATATATACAGAGAAGAAACGTCTGTCTTCTTCATGCCCAAATCCTGACTGTTCTTTCCCCTGAGAGATGTAACCTCTTGTGCAGCCTGAGCTCACAGCCTCTACTTGATGCTGGCACAGAGAGAACTTTGGCTTAACAGGTTTCCCTTGAAGTACATTTAGTAGGAGCAGTTCTGGCTGTCGAAGAAATATGAACTGGAAGGGGTATCTGAGTGCGACCAAGCAATATTAAAACTTCCTCTAAATGGCTATCCCTCATCTGAGCGAATGGACACCTACACCTTTAGAAACTGGACTTTAAAGAAGCTAAGTTTTTCCTTCTCTTACAAATTTAGTTTTTAAAGTGGCTGCTAAAACAATCTTGAACCCTGCTTTTTTATTTATGTTCAATATAATAGGTTGGTGGGTAGAATTTTGATTCTGTTGTGTACATGGTCTGCTTGTGTATTTCATACCATGTTTTTGAAATACAGCCTGCTTTCATCCTAGAACAGAATTACTTTTGTCAGAAACAACAGCTATAGTGTTCACTTGCTTGAATTCTTATTATCTGCAATATCCTTTTTCCCCAGTGACCAGGTATTTGAAATTGGAGTACTGGATATTTTTGGATTTGAAGAATTTCAAAAGAATACTTTCGAACAGGTGAGTGGCTGTGTTTTGCTGAATTTACTGTAACTGTTAATGTTAATTCTTCTACTAAGGTTTTGGGGTTTAGCCAAAACAAGTGTTTTGATCAGAATATAAACATACATGGAGGAGAAAATTTGCTCTTAAAATATTTTTTTCCCATTATACCTATATAGGTGTGAGTTAAAACCTGGGCTTTGTACAGTTATTCATCATTTTACAAGAATCCAGTAAACATCTACCATAATGATTTGGAAGGAGGGTAGTATCAGCACTGCAAGACAATCTGAGGAAAATACTTAGTGTTGTCTGTTTTCATGGATGTGGAAGTGATACTTCAACTAGGTCAGTGAGTAGGAGGACAATATACTGGATTGGAAGAAAGACCAAAAGGTCTTCAGATGCCTTGGAGAAAAAATAGAATGAAAATGCTACATTATGCTAAGTGCCATTACCGGCAGATTCACCTCTGTGTGACTTTACAACATGTGACTTTTCAAAAATTGAATTACAGCTATGGAAAATAAATTAAACTTTAGCTCATTGAATGCTTAAAAATCCATTTAAATAGCAAACATTTTTTGAAAATTATGAAACTGTTTGCCCACCATTAGTCTCCAAACATTAGCCCCCCAATTTGCCCCACATTAATCTCTGAACACCAAAGCTCTTGTGAATTACGTATTTCAGAAAGCATTAGCAACTCTACACAACACGCTGAAAGAGTTGTCTAAGTTATTGTTCGGTTGTTCATTCATTCTGTAATGCAGCAGAAGAAAATCAAAGCATAGAATAGAAAATCAAAGCATAGAAAAGAATAGAAATGGCATCAGCAACAACAAAGGACCTGTTATTGTTTGAAATCAGAATTTGCCCCTTCATCCCAGTCAATCCATTGTTTTATGGCTTAACTTTCTCTTTCTAGTGAAATAGAAGTCATAGAGCCACATTAGTTCAGTTTGTGTAACATGGCTACCCGATTTCCAAATGTTTGAAAGCACAAACAGGGTGAGCTTACCTCTACCTTCAAAAGAGTGTGTAAGAATGCAATAAAACATATTCCAGTTCCCCTCTCACAAAACTCTTTTTGCTGTTACAGTTCTACCTTGCTTGAAAGTTTGCTGGATTAAGGACTACTGATGTGTGCCAATATTCACAGTCATTTACTCAGTGTGAATGTCTATTTTGGGGGAAAATATCAAGTGAAAAACAAAAAACATTTTAACAGCCTGCGTATATGCAAAAAAAATTCCATAAACCCTACTGATTAATAAGGATAAAGTATTTTATGCATTTTAAATGCATCTCAAAAGAGAGGGGTGCATCTTGGGACTTACTGGTTATTTTCCTTTGACTCTGTTCTGCATTGTTTTTTCTCATTAAACTCATATAAGTTCTGCAACTAACATCATGATATACCATGAATTCCAATTTTTGGGGTAAGTCATTTTCTACTTAGTGACTGCAGAGGATGTTTGAAGAAAAAATATGACTCAAAGAAAATGGGTAAAAAGTCATTTATTTTATGATTTCTGCATAGCAAACATGATAATTTCAAAGTCAACTTTGCATTTTTATTTTGTTTTTTTCTAAATAAATACATTTCAAGAGACCCTTACTGTCCCTCCACCTGGACTGAATGCATTTTGTTGAGTAATATTGAGTAATACTCTGAGTCATTACCTCAGAAACTACTGAACTGCATTCCTGATAAGGTAGAATAAGCGTGAGGGAATTGCAGAGTTCATTTTTATACGGACTCTATAATGTGATTAACACATCTGATTCCTGGAGTGATAGGTTGCAGTATCAATGAAGAGAAGCAGTTTGTATCTCCGCATGGCACAATGTAATCATGCAGACATACCCAAAACAGCCTGCGCTCAAAAGCTCGAGCTGTCTAGCAGTCTAGCCTAGTTCAGTATTCTGCCTGGACTCGTTAACCCTGATGATAAACGGGCTTGTTAGCCCAGATAGGGTCCTCACGCAAAACATTGCATCATGTCTGCAAACATGCCCAGTGTCAAGGCCTGTGGCTGCAGAACATTAACATTCAATGTTACAGCCAAACAGTGGAGGAGCCAGAAAAATTACTTTTTCATCACATTTAGATTAACATATATTAAAATGGCATTACAAAAGTAATTTGGGGAAAATGAACCTTTTGTTTCAAATTAGTGTAAGACAAGGCATTCTTTGTGATACCTGTTTGCCTGCTTTCTTGAAAAAAAAAAAGCAACTGTTTTCACAAAAGATTAAAACCTCCTGATTGCCCAAATCTGGGGACATTCCAAGCAGCTGCGTGAATCTTTCCGGTGCTTCAAATCAGGTCAGCTGATAGACAATTTAATATCATAATTAAGAGAGCAATATGATACTCAATCACATGTCAATTTAAGCAATTCATTTTAATAGACTGTGTTTGAAGACGGTTCAGGAAGAGAGAGCTGGATAAACCAGGTAGAATAACTGGTTCACTCCAGTGAGTGTGTTGGAATGACAAGGCATTAGAGAATTGAAATGGCAAAGGCAAACAAAGAATTGGTCTAGGAATGGTTCATGAACAATGCATAGGACAATAGATGTCAAAGAACTAGAAAGGTAAGGTTAATTATGTCTACACCGAGAATCTGGTAACTTCTGCAGGCAAGATGATGTGACTGACAGCTTGCAAGGAGAAAAGTTTTATAGACAATTACAAAGAAGAAGGCATTAGAAGTTAAAAACAGTGTTAAGTGTTCAGTTTTCCTTGTACTTCGTGAGCATCTATAAGCCTTCATTTTATAGAACGTGTGATACATTATATTTATAATAGCAAAAATAGGACATGTAATTCTAAAATAACAGTAAATAAATGCATGGAATAAGCAATAGTGAGAGGACTTGTGATTTTTGGTATGAAATTTAAAAGCCGGAAGACGGGGGACAGTGTTTTTAGAAGCCACAGTCTGAGGGAGTCATTGCTCAATAAAGACCGAAAGCTTCTGAATTACCAGGACTCAGTGAGTTACTGCTCATTAGCTGAGCTATGGTAAAAGACTACAGTACACTTTTAGCTCACCCCAATTACAATTTACAATCACTTCCTAGCAGTGATCATTAGCTTGAGAACAGCATTTTCCTAGAGCAGCTGCATACCTGCTGTGCCAGAACAGCTTTGTATACAGCCATACTGGAACACGGTCAGAAGTGAGCACAGATTTGTCTGTCCTGTTCTATACAGAAATGGCCTTCATTTTGGGATCATTTCAGGAAATATGAGTGCTCTACCAAAAATAGCAATAGCAGTGTTCGATGTTAGTTTTCAATGTTTTCTTAGGTTTCTTTGTTTGAGAGGGCTATGTTTATTTAAAGCTAGCTTAGATCTTATTCATGGCTCCTTCACAGCACAACTCCAAATAGTGCAGTCGAGGAATGCTGATATTTCTTTAAACCTTTATGCTGCTATCTTCTTTATACCTTTATGCTAGTACACTCTTTGACCGCAAAAGCATGCAACACAAACGGAAAGAAATCACAGCAAACAAACATAACAAGCAATAAGCAGGAGGGAAGGCTGATAAAGTTGCCTATATCATTTTCCCCTAATTGTTTCTAAGAAAACTGTATTATAGCAGAAGAACCAGACCTTAGAGTAGCAAGTGCAGCTTTTTTTCCCCCTGCAGAAAATCAGGTCTTTCTACAGAACTGGAAGTCTGTAGTTGTGGAAAGAGCAATAATGCAGTTAAATAAAATGGACTCTAGTAGTCTTTTCTCTCTGATGTCTAATTCAAGTGGTAAACTGAAAAAATATTTAGCTCTTGCTAAATAATGTGTTTAGCTCTTGCATCGTGTTTTGCCTCTGTAGACCTCTTAAGTTTTGCAGAAGAAAGTATATATATCTCCCCCTTTTTATAGGAAATTTAAGTGGTTTATCGGAATTAGGACCGCAGATCACGGAAACAGTCAAGTGTCTCTTGACTCCCATTCAACTCTATACCCATTAAAGTATGTGCGGCATTATCTGTGTGAGGCAGGAGGGCGCTGGGAGAGGGACGGCTCCCGTGGCAGCTCTGTGCAGCACATCTCTCGCGACAGGAGCCAGCTGGCTCCGAGAGCACAGAGCATTGCCTGCCCCTCTCAGGACGTGACTTCAGAGTCACTATGGCGAAGCAGAAGAGCTCATACAACCCAGCTGTGTTCACAGGAATTTTCACCTACGTTTATTATTAGGTGTGGTAGGTTTTAACTTCTTAGCGTGTTATTTCTTTAGTTAACCCTGCTGAGACTTCATTTAATTTTGTCATGTGACCTTTCCTAGCCAAAACAGCCATATCAGAATATTTTTGTATTAAATTGCATTGCCTCAGCCATGAGACCATTTCTAGCTATCCAAATGTAAGCTCATGTTGCCTATTTTGTAGACAGATGGATACAAATAGATAAAAGTTACATGACTTAACTCTTCTATAGTCATTGTGGTCTCAGTGATAGCAGACGGGAGGTCACGCACTCAAGTTTTTGCATTCGGACAGTCTGAAGGAGCATTCCAATATTTCATTTTATGCAGAAGAAATCAGCCTTCTTTGGCTTTGCCTGTCCAGAGCATAGATGGACGGTTCTGCTTGCCTCTGTACTAGCCTGTGGAATAGGCGGCTGCTGGCGCACACGGAGCTCTGCTGCTACGCAGGGACTTGAATGCAGAACCTCCCACTGCAGCTCCCAGTGCTGGGGCATTCCTTATTCCCCAAAGGATGAGGGACAGTGCTTTACTATCTTAATTCAGCCTTTAACAAGGAAAAATGGTGTGATATTTTTAAGTCAGAGTTTTGCTAGCCTCCATGCACAGGAAGGTTTTAACGTCCTTGTTGGGGAGCAGCGAGAGCCAGCTGATCCCTGGCGTCAGGGAGCCAGGCACCAGGAGGACCCCAAGGCCGGCCACGCCATCCCGCAGGGCCGGAGCATGGTGGGCAGAGCCAGGGCCGGTAACGGCACCCATCGGCTGCCCTGACACGGCAAGCAGCGAGCCGGGGCTG